GTCTAGCAAGAAGTTTCTCCAGCCAAGGTCAAAGAAGTTGCTGTCTGTGTTCTCCTCTAAGGTTTGGATGGATTCCTGTCTTAAATTTAGGTCTTTCATCCATTTTGAGTTTATTTTTGTGTACAGTGTATAAAAGTGGTCCAGTTTCATTCTTCTGCATGTGGCTGTCCAATTTTCCCAACATCATTTGTTGAAGAGACTGTCTTTTTCCATTGGACATTCTTTCCTGCTTTGTTGAAGATTAGTTGGCCATAGAGTTGGGGGTCCATTTCTGGGCTCTCTGTTCTGTTCACTGACCTATGTGTCTGTTTTTGTGCCAGTACCATACTGTCTTGATGATGACAGCTTTGTAAGAGAGCTTGAGGCCCAGATTTGTGGTGCCACCAGCTTTGCTTTTCTTTCTCAAAATTCCTTTGGCTATTTGGGGTCTTTTCTGATTCCATACTTCCTTATGATTTTCTTAACATTTTCTTTTCCCTAGCTTACTTTAGTGCAAGAATGTGGTCTATAATACATATACAAAATTGATGTTAATGGATTATTTGTGTTATCCATAAGGCTTCTGGTCAACAGTAGGCTGCTAGTAGTTAAGTCCTGGGGAAGTCAAAAGTTATACATGGATTTCTGATTGTGTGGGAGGTCAGTGCCCCGATGCCCTGTGTCGTTCAAAGGTCAAGTGTAAAAGTCTATGGTATTTTGTATGGCAGCCCAAGCTGACCAAGACATGGCAGAATTGCTGTCAGCCCCTCTCCTGGCTATAGCCTCTCTGCACATGCTGGGGTTCAGTTTAACCCTTTGGCCCCAGCCCTGCCCTGCCCACTTATCCGTATGGGCACTCCTTTCAGAGCCTGGGACTTTAGCCTACTCCCTACACCCTCTCAGTCAGCTTCAGAGTGATTACACGCCCACCTGCTCTTACAATTACCATGTCTGAGGACCTTCTTTATTAAGCAAGCACTGCAGACCATCAGCTGCCACCATCTAGCATTTAGACAGAGAAAGAAGCCCCAGAAAGTGTGTGCATGTGTCTCGGTGTGGGTGGAGTTTTTGTGTGAGTATGCATGTGGGTGTGTGTTGAGAGATGATATATAAACAGACAAAGGCCAGACCATATATGTAATAATAAAACTGTAATCCACGGTCTGTAGCAAACAACTCAGGAAGCCAGCCTGCTGTAAATCAAACGTGTACAAGTCAGACCCTATCTCTAGTAACCGGTCCAGGAAGCCAAACAATAATCCTTGTAACAATGGCCCCTACTTTTATTCCCTCTTCCAAGTTGGGAGAAGCCAAATATGCGCCCCCTAGCCAGTCACTAGAACCAGTAATTAGAACTTGTTTCCGGTTCCTCATGCCAACAGCCTCTGCTATCAGGGCATACGTGAAACCTTCTCTTTTTCCCACTATCAAGTTTTCCCACTCCTGTGCCTGCCTTTGAGCCTCGGCCAAAATGCAAGTGATGGTGGCCGACTCCCTTGCTCCAGCAAGCTTGGAATCAACAGTCTTTGCTTGTTCTCATTTGGATGATCTTCCTGTATTTCCGCAGCATGCAGGAGCGTGGAGAAGCATGTGTCTACGAGCCTGCACTCACTGTGAGATCTCATCACTTCTGGGTTTGTTCCCTTGCCCCTCCTCTTGTAGAGCTGATGGGAAGGGAGGGTTGGGCAGGGAGGAAGCAGGAGGGAAGGGAGGAGGATTTGGATGAGAGTCACTTCTGTGACACAGACCATTGATGATAAGAGCCAAACTTTTGTGTGAAGTAATAGAGTCCTAGAACCTAGAACCAGTCCCCCCACCCCATCTCCAGCCCTCTTGAGCCCGACAAGGCCTCAGAGCGTTTCCCAGTCACCATACTTCATAACCTCCGTTTCTCCTTTCATTGTTGAGAGCCAATGGCAGGCACCAGGACAAGGTCACCCCCCTGCCTCTGTGCCTGCCAGTCCCTCCGGAGCCTCCCCTGTGTCTCATCGTTGTGACTGGGGCCCTGACTTCCCTTTAGTTCCAAGTGTATCAGGATTTAATCCGAGGCCAGGCAGCCGCTTGCCAAAATTAATGGTTAGTAAAATTAGAACAAACAGAGGTAAATCGCCTTTACCTAGCACACAGCCTCCCTGTGATTTTAACGGCGGCAAAGAGATCACTGAGGTGCTACAATCTTCTGATCAATGGTGGTAATTTTCCTCCCCCTTAAGATAAGCTTAATCACACTAAGGGTCTTAGCACAAGGGTCAAAAGAAAATTACATGGTTGTGCAGGAGCCATGGCCGGCACACTCGGAGAGATCGTGCGAAGCTGCCCGACTCTGCCGCAGAAAAGAGTCCGTGCTCCGGTCACATATACCGGATTCTGCAAAGCCCCCTGGCGAGCTGTCCTTTTAAAATTGAAGAAACCAAGGCTGACACCCCGCCCTGGCCAAATGAGTGCCTGCAGCCTGGCGTCTGACACTAGTCCTACTAGGGTGTGAACGGCCGAATGGAGGAAACACCCACCCCTGGGCGTCCCCTCCAGCTCGTGGGTGTTACAGCGAGGGATGTGCGTGCTGGGACGGGGCACCGGCAGCCAGACTCAGCGCCAGACCTGGCGGCCGCACGTCCGAGCCCGTGGTCTGCGCACGTGCTCGGCGAGAGTTCTCGCCGTTTTCAAATCCATCATCCAGTGTTGAACTTGCCTGTTTTCTCCAGCTGTGTGCTCTGCATCGTCACCTACGCTGCAGAGCATCTTGTATCAGTTGACTTAAGCCAGTTTAAAACAGTGAAATGCATCCTGTGGATCCATGAACAAACTGAACATTTCATGAATCACCAACCCGTTTCTTGTGACTAAGAACGGAGATAAACAGTGACTAATGTCGCTGAAAAGCAACTATGCACTAAATCCCAAAACGGATGGCTGTGTCAGGGGCTGAGGAATTCCAGTTGCCTGGAGTGTTCACAGCAACCGGAGCACCAGAGATAAACTGACTGGAAGGGGGTGACTCATGGTACCTGCAGGCAGGGGGGTTAGAGACCAGATGGGTTTCTGATGCCTCTTTTTCTCTCTCGGCCCTTCTTGGCACTACCGCAAACCTGATTATGAAATTTCATTCTGTGCTGCCTAGGCCCTAAACCTAAACAGAGGGAAGGACTTCAATTAGAACACAAAAACCTAACACACTCTAATCTCCCCTGCTTGCCGGTCTAAACAGACACCTCCTTCCTGCATTGTTTCCCCTGGGCAGGATTTCCACCCCCATTCTAATCCAACTCGGTCCTATTTTGTTTGCTAACCACCTCTGAGAAATTTATTGTTATGTAAGAAGGAAGAAAAGTGAAATGAAGATTTTTTTTTTCCCCTGAGAACATATTCTGCTTCAGAAATGGGCCCTTTAAAAGACCATTTCTCTTTACCACAGATCCAGCAATCAAGCCCTTTGGTATTTCCCCAAAGGAGTTGAACACTTATATCTGCACAAATGCACCCAGATGTTTCTGGCAGCTTTATTTATAATTGCCAAAACTTGGAAGCAACCAAGATGTCCTCAGTAGGTGAATGAATTAATAACTGTGGTACATTCAGACAATGGACTGTTATTTAGCGCCAATAAGAAATAAGCTATCGTGCCATGAAAAGACATGGAGGAAAATTTTCTTAAAGATTTTATTTATTTATTTATTTGAGAGAGACAGAGAGAGAGAGGGATGAGGAGCATGAAGAGAGGGAGAAGCAGACTTCCCACCCACCGAGCAGGGAGCCTGATGCGGGACTCAATCCCACGACCCTGAGATCATGACCCGAGCCAAAGGCAGATGCTTAACTGAGGGAGCCACCCAGGCGCCATGTAATGGAGGAAACTGAAATACACATTACTAAGTGAAGGAAACCAATCTGAAAGCCTACCTGTCGCATGATTCCAACCATACTCCATTTGGGAAAAGGCAAAACTATGGAGGCAGTAAAAAGATCAGTGGGTGCCTGGGGTTAGGGTGGAAGGAGGGATGAATGGGTGGAGCATGGAGGATTTTTAGGGCAGAGAAACTATTCTGGAGGATACTATCATGGTGGATTTGTGTCATTATACATTTGCCAAGCCCATAGAATGTGCGACACGTGAGAGAACCCTAATGTCAACTGTGAACTTTGGGTGATTATGATGTATCAGTGTGCGTTCATCCATTGTAACAATTGTACCACTTTTGGAAGGTGTTGATAATGGGACGCTGTGTGTGTGTGTGTGGGGGGGCAGTTAGGGAGTGTATGGGACATCTCTGCACCCTCCTCTGAATTATGCTGTGAACCTAAAACTGCTCTAAAAACACAAAGGCTTTATAAAGAAAAAAGTAAATAAAAATAATAGAAATCATTTCTCTCCGGGGAAGCAGAGCGCATTCGGGCATGTGTATAGCATTGTCCTTTACCTCCCTATGAGGGAGGTGGCATTCAGGGCCCAGGGATGGTGATGTGCCTGGCTGGAGAGAAGTGTCCTGGCCATTTTCTGTTGGTACACATGCCCCTGCTCGCTAGGCCTAAGCTGTCCAACACAGCAGCTGCTAGCCATGTGGAGTTCTTTTAATTTAAATTAATAAAAATAAAACTACAAATTCATTTTGCACTGGTCTCATCTGAAGTGCCCTATAGCCTATGTAGCTAATGGCTACTGCATTGGACAGATTTGGGACCTTTCCATCATCTCAGAAAGTTCTACTGGATAGCACTGCTCTAGACTCTGCGCAGCCCCAGAGTCTCCCCTGGGGGGGGGGGGGGAATCACCAATGGAGAATGCCTGTGGTCCAGGATCCTCAGTCCCGGATCCCAAAGGACAGCTGAGCTATGGACACTGTTTCTGAGAGACAGTTTCAAAAGATGGGGGCTGGCAACAGGGCCAGGACTGAAAAAGGCTCAGGAGACCTTGTTAACTGAATCAGTGCTTGTAGAACAACTTCTCTTTTGCAATCCTTGCTGGTCTGACAGGCTCCTGCAGAATTACATCACTTCCTAAAAAACAGGCAAACACCTCTCCTTCGAGTTAGCACCGACCCAAATGAGCAGGAAACAGGAAATGTTCAGGTTTCAGGGAGGCTGAAGCCCAGCGCAGCATCATGCCCGGGCGGCGAGCTGACAGGAAGGCTCCCCGGGCTGCCCTCGCCTTTGCCCTGGTGATCACGCTCCTTCCCACCAGCCAGGCTCGGGGTAAGCTACCTCCCCGTTCTCCACCCCAGGGAAGGATAGCCAGGCTTGTTCAGTGCCCGAGGCTACAGAACTCTGCGGGGGTGGGGGGGTGACACCCAGAAAACCTAGTCCTTTCTGCGAAAGAAGGAGACGAAATTAGATTTGTAGTTTTGGGGGGGGGGGGGGTGGGGGGGGGGGGCTTGGCAGGCTTTCCCTGCAGCTGGCCAATCCCGCTCCAGCTCCCTCACTCCATTTAACTTTCCCGCAATTTCTGTCTTCTAACAAGTGCAGGGTCCCTGTAATGTACCGGCTTTGACAGGCATATTAAGGAAACCATAAACGTTTTTGGCTGTTTGTGTAAAAGAATGTTTCAATCAGAAGTCATGAACTTACTTTTATAAAAATGTGGGCTGGGAAATCTGCTAGTACCAAAATCTCCTAGAAAAACTAGGGTATGGAAATGTACTACTGGCAAGTATACTAAAGAAAACCAGTAAGTTAAAAAAAGAAAAGCAAACAGGAAATTATCGGAGGAGTTACCAGGCATCCATTCTAACTTTTCAAGAGAAGTCTTTCATCTGTTTTTCTTTGATCTTTTTACTTTGGGGGGATATTTTCTTTGCATTGATTGTTACTAATGAACTTTTATTTTAGAAAGTAATGTGATTGTAGCAAATCAAAGGTATTGGAAAGACAAAATATTAAATCTCCTTATTTGGAGCTAAGAGCCGCAATTGATTTATACCCTTGACAGTTGCTACAAGCACAGTCACCCTCGATTGCCTCATATTGTTTTGTTGACTTGCCCTTGGGTAAATAAACTCATTGCCCATGATTTCTGTCAACAGATACTACCTGTTTCTAGTAGTGTAGGTCAGTATTTCAAGCAAAAGGAAAGTTCTCAAGTTTAAATAGGATAGGGGGCAGGGGGCAGGCACAAGGCACTGACTGAGCATGTGGCAATTTCCTGGAGATTCACAGTCAGCACCCAACCACACGGCCCCTCCAATTTCTCTTGCCCTGGGTGCTCTCCATGTGGTCTTGCCAGGCATCTGAGGTGGAAAATGAAAAGTGAAAGGCAAACCATTCTGACTGGAAAGATGTCTGGTTGAGATGGGAGGTAGCGTTTCAGATGCGCCGAGGGGGACAATGTGTTGTCTTAGGCACAGTTTGGGGGCTGGGAACAAGCATAAAGATGACGAGGTTCAAGCTGCATGGGTGGCACAGAGGAAGGCGCTAAGGCAGCGGAAGATCAGATGTCTAAGCCCCTTGGCTGCTCAGCTCTTCTGACTGGGACTCCGGGGGTCCCTCCTCTGCCCCAGTGGAGAGCCCTCTGGGCCAGACTCCTTTCCCTGCAGGTTGTCCTCAGCAGCCCAGGAAGCAGAACTCAGCCATCCCACTTCCACTTCTTGTGCATCTCAATGCTACCACAGAGGCCTCAAACATGCCCTGAGAGTAATATTTAAGTTTGCCTGAGTATTTTCTTGAGCTTTTGAGTATTTTCTTGACATTTCTGAGTCGAAGCTTATGCCATCTGGGAGACGCAGAAGGATCACCTGAAGCCTCAGCACAAGTTTTCTTTCTAAGGCTGATATCTGATCAGTGGCTTTTCCACATAAAGACCTTTGGTGGCTCCTTATTTACGCCACTTCGACTCTCGCTTCAACCTCCTTCCCATGGCATCTCCCCCCATGTGCCCTCCCCCAGTCCAGTCATACCGAACGGAGTGTGTGCTCCAGGCCTCTGGGGCTCTTGCCAAAAGTGAGTGACAAGTCCTCTTTTTTCTACTTAGTGAACTCCTATATAATCCTAAAGACCCAGACTGGAAGTTGCGTCCTCCTTGATGTCTCCCCTCACTGCACCTTCCCTGGTGACTTTACCTGTGTCACGCCCACATAAAACTTAACTTCCATACACACAGCTAATTGTGTTGAATCCTAAGTGTGTATGTGCCCATATCTCCCACCAGGCTATGAGCGCCACCAGGGAAAATGGCTCATCTCTTACTTCCCAAAACCTTGTTGGGATCCGCATAAATCAAGAACTGCATCATTGTTGATAAATGCTACAATCATTCTAGAATGGATTTGAGGCTGAGCATTAAAAGCCGATGAGCTCCTGAAAACAGGCAGTGTGAGAATGTCAGAGAAGTCAGGAGAAAAACTACATTTCAGCCGAGAGCAGAGTTTACCTAGATAGTCCAACACACTTACTGGGCCCTGTCTGGATTTCCAATGTCAGAAAATGCAAAAATGCCCACTCACAAAAAGCTAGATAATCAAAGCCAAGGGGAAGTCTCTTATAAATTAAAGACTGATTATTTTTAAATTAATCAATGTCTACCCTTTTCAGCTAATGGTGCCTAAGACCATTAGTTAGTGTATAGGTGTCACACTCGTATTTTCCTGAATTCTTCAGAAAGTATCTTGGAGATGTTTGGTAGTAGGGTCCAGTCTACTGAACAGCCTGACACCCCTCCTTGCAAGCATGTTCCAGTATATAGCTCAAGTCAAGCCAACCACAAACAGGTAACATAATCTAATATCAGCGGTTTCCTGGCCCAGTATCAATACCTCAGAGTCAGTGTCCTTTCCCTTTACATGGAGAGCCTGCTGCCGTCTTGATTACTACCCCAAGTGAAATAATCTACTTAGGAGTCACCAGGAGAGAAATGAGAAAATAGCTTTTCTGGGATTTTGACCAAACAGATGAGCCCAGTTAAAGAAAGCCTGTGGCTTTGGGTATCTTGGCCAGTGTTGGACGCTAAGGAAATTCAGACTCAATGTCAGGGCGACATTCTGTCCAGGGAGTGAGGGAGTCATTTTCACCTGGCTTCTTGCCCTGTGCCCTGTCAATGTTAGCCTAACACTATCAGAGAACTAAAAGCAACTTCCCAGACACCGAAACCATGGGATTTATTAGCTGAGATGGGCAGGATGGTTTGTAAAAGAAGAGCTAAGGGCATGAGGCAGAAACAAGGAGGCTGTAACTGTTTTGGTGGCCAGGACTAAACACCAGGTTTGACCGGAAAGACTGGGAGATTTTCTGCACCGTTTCAGAAGAGTAAGAACCATGTAAGTAGTAGATACACCTTGAGAAGAAAAGAAAGAATTAAAGAAAACACTAATTGCATACATGGAGCTGCGCTTTCTGACACTGATCTCATTTCACTGAACGTGACTGGTATCTGCTATTGCCTCGGACAGTTCCAATTTCAAATAGTAATAATGATGAGAGCAAACACATATAGTCCTCATTGTATGCCAGGTGCCCTTCTAAAATAATTTACATACGCTCACTCATTTAGTTCTCCTAACGACCTTATATAGTGGGTTCTAGTACTAGCAGGGGTTTTACATATGAGAAAATGGAAGCACAGAGAGGCTAGGTGACTTGCCTCAGGTCACACAGCTAAATGGTGGCTCTAAGTAAGATTCAGTCTCAGGAATCCGAGCTCTAACGTATGCCATAACACCTCTGGGTGTTTTAGGCTCTGCCAGGATATGTGTCTAGCTTCAGGTTTAGAAAAATATGTCTATGGTATCCTTCCAACTGTCGATGTATCACATACATCTTAGGCCCCCTCAGTTAGGGTCTAAGGTTATTGCATATTGATAAAGGAGCTCTATTTGTTTGGTTGGGTCAGAGACTGGACTATAGGAAAAGGGATGGAGAGAGTTGGTTTAACTTTGGCCTGTAGAGGGGGAAGGGAAGGGCTGCAAGGTGCAGAGTGAGCAATAGAGCATCTGGGGATTAGCAAAGTGAAGACCAGAAGCAGGAAAAGTGGAATGATGAAGTCACTGGTAAGAGGTGTCAGGGTGTGGGAACCAGGGAGAAAAAGCACAGCTTTGTGGGAGAGCCCTGTGGAAGGGCCCTGCTGAGAGCTGACCCCAAGGACCGAATCAGGGACCAAAAAAAAAAAAAAAACAGGCAGAAAGGGATTTACTGGGGTTTCAAGTCCCTCTGTGTCTAAAAGCCTGATCCAAGGATCCAGAAGAGGGCTGGATCTTGGCTGGGATGGGCCCAATTCTGCAAAGAAACAATACAACCTGCAATCTGCCTACCTGTGTTGAGTTTGCACCACCCTCAAATGTTGGCAAAGATCTAGAGAAACAGGAACTCTGCACCACTGGTGGGAGGGTTTGTGCAATCCCCTAGCCTATCCTGCTGCTTAACCCGTTCATTGGGCTTTTCATTTCAGTAATATTTTTCACTCTAGAAAATTGTATTCATTTCCAGAAAAAAAGTATACTGTCTTGCTTTTATTTTTTTCTTGTGTTAGTTATTCCTTCTTTTATGTCTTTTTTTTAAAAACATAGTATTTTCTGATAACTTTTATCTGCCGTGTATGTAGACCTAATGTTGTTGCTCATTGTATCTGTCAATTCCCATTCATGATAGAAATCTTGGGGGCACTGAGGACGCACTCTGGCACACAGGAGATGACTTCACCCCATTTGACAGAAACCCAGATTTTCTGATTCCAGCACCAGGTTACTGTAAATACTTTCCCAAAACAACCTAGTCCTGTCACCACAGAATAGTGTTTGGAAGATATGGAGGCAGGGATGCGCCAGGCTTGAGCAGAGCCGGTGGTGCTTGGACCTCAGGCTTAAAGCCCAGCCTCGGGATGGAGAGGGGACCGGCTGAGCCGGCCTCAGGGGTCAGACTCCAGGAGTTGTATGAGGAGGAGCCAAAACCCCATGAAACGTACAAGCCAACAAAGCAGAGTCTGCTGTGGGGGCCGGTCAATTCCAGAAGCAGGTAGACAAGGATGCCAAAGTTATTGCCAAGGAGAAAGAAGTAGACAAAATCAAATTGAAAATCAGAAG